TAGAAAATTTATTTTCCACTTCCTCTCCCCCCATTATAGAAAATTTAAAATTACGTATTATATTCCTGTGGGATGGTGCTGCTCTAGAGAGCTCCTCGAACTTCACAACTTAGATTAAGCTCAACTCAGCGAAGCTTTTCCTGATACCCCAAACCCTATTCCGTTCTGAATTAATAATTTTCCCTCTGAGTCATCGCTGGACGCTGTTCTTTTTTCTCTAGCATGGCACATTCCCTGGGCTTCATCCAACTGTGATATTTCTGATAGTTGAGACCAAGTCTATTTCGCTGGGGTTTTCCCTCTCTCTACCCCTCAAACCAGCATGTACCTGGTGTACCCCAGATGTAACTAAAGAGCAAATAAATGAAAGAATTAAGAGGATTTCATTCTATTTTTTTTTTTTACTTGTCTATAACATATCCCCAGAATAAGAGGCTTTGAAGCTGTTAGAAGTATGGTGATGAAATGATCAGAGACTCTTCTACGCTTTCTACTTTTATTTTGAGAAATCGAGAAGTTGTTAAGCTTGGCAACACACGGGGGGAGGGGTTGCAGACTGAATTCAGAGGAGGCTCCAAACTTTGCTTGGCTTAACACTTTGAATCTCTAATTTTTTGTAGACTTTTTAGAGCATCCCATTTCCCTCTAGCTTTCTCTTCAGCATTTTAAGTTCAATTTAAATGGTTGTTATAACCTTTTTACATACAGTACAGTCCACGGAAAGCAGGAGCCTCAACCCCTGGCATTATTAGGCCGGCCTGCAGGGGGCTGTCATTCATTCCCACAGTCAGATGTAGGGTGAATCTCTTTGATTTGTAAACTCTTTGGGCCAGGAAGGAAGGGCTCCACTTATATACCCAATTACCCAACACAAATCTATTTTTTAATTTTTAGTTTTTATTCTATTTTTATTTTTATTTTTTTGAGACAGGGTCTCACTCTCTTGCCCAGGGTAGAGTGCAGTGGTGTCATCATAGCTCACTGCAACTTCAAACTCCTGGGCTCAAGCAATCCTCCCATCTCAGCCTCCTGAGTAGCTGGGACTACAGGTGTGTGCCACACTGCCCAGCTAATTTTTCTATTTTTAGTAGAGATGGGGCCTTGCTCCTGCTTGGGCTGGTCTCAAACTCCTGGCCTCAAGTGATCCTCCTGCCTCGGCCTCCCAAAGTGCTAAGATTACAGGCGTGAGCCACTGTCCCCAGCCCCCTGATTTCTTTCTTAACCATTTCAACTATCTATGCTTAATAAAAGAGGTTGGACACTTAAGGTAGGGGGACAGTGTGAATGAAGACCTGTGGAGGCCTGTGTGGAGGCCCAAGGATGTGTGGAATGCCAAAAGCAGAGGAGTTGAGATCAACTCCAGTGTAGTGGATAGTTCATTTCAGGAGAGAGTGAGAAATAAATGTAGTCGGAGACAACTTTACAAGGGAGTAGTGGCTTTCTTTAAGAGGCAGGCAGAGAGGCTCATACTTGACGTAGGTGACCAGAGTAAACCTTGGAAAACTTTTGAATAGGAAAGTAAATAGAAAGAATATTATTGGCTGAGTATTAGGCAGAAGTAACACCTGGGAAGGATTGAACAGAGAGCTCAGCATTAAGAGGGCAGGGAGAAGGCAGTTCAAATCAAGATGAGCCTAGTTTGGAAGCCATGGGGGAAATGTATTTTGAGGGGTGCTGGCAAGTGACTAACGTGAGAATGAAGGGGCATGATGAATTAAGGATGACTTCCAAGTTTTTATCTTGGGTGAACTAAAGAATTTGTTCCCTTGACCAGGTAACGTCTCTAATAGGGATAAATAATTTCGTAGGCAGAAGTGGATGACTTTGGTTTTAGAATCATTGACTCAGGCTGTTGTGAGACATCAAGGTGAAATGTTCAGTTAGAAAGATGGAACTAGACCTCTGGTGGGATTGTGAGTCGACAGAGCATAGGGTAGAGTGACTGATAATTTCTAGACTAAACATCAGAACACATGGAACTGAATATTTGGAATTGAGATCGATTCCTGTAGTTAGATACCTGTAGTGGTGGTTCATCTAGATGCCATATAGGAGAATTAACGCTGCCCCAGGAGAGAAGAGAGTTAGTGAGAGAACAGCAGGAGGCTTTTTTATCCTCCCAGGGGGCAGGTGAAGGAATGTCTTCAGTCAAGGAGAATTAAAGAGAAGGATTCATGGACCAGAGAGAAGAACCAGAATTGTGCTGTGTAGTCAACCTCATTGACTCTTCTGCTGGGAGACGGTGGAGGGAAGGGTGGCCATGGGATAGAGGGTCCCCAAGGACGTTTATAGTTCAGAGGGGCAAACAGCCAGTTGTCAACTGCTAAAGGTAATACTTTGAAGAATAAAAGAAATGCTGAGCTGAAGTCCAAACAACATATTGTGGAAATATAGAAGCAACAGCAATTAACTCTATAATAACTATGGAGTGAGAGAAGGTACAATCCCGGAGAATAAGGAAAAGACATTTTTCAAGGGAAAGGGAGAGGGTTAACCATGGCACATGTAGCTGAACAGTTTTTAGGAATGAAGTCCCTCAATTTCGCAATTTGGGCAATAAAGGAGTCACTCATGTTTTTCAAAAGGAGGTTTAATAAAATGTTGGGGTTAGAAGCCAATTGGTTGCAAGAGGTTAAAGAAATGGTGAGGGGGATGGTCCATTCATTCACCTACAACCGCGTGTTCGCTGAGTCCTATTCTGGACCGGAGGTGAGAGGAAGAGGAGAAGCGAGGAAGAGGAGAAGCGCAGTGGTGGCTGGAGTGGGCGCGGGGCAGAGGCTTTCCCAGGACCGAGGATTCTGGCGTTGGGGAAGCCTGTCCAGACGGCGGGGCGGACGCTGGTGAGGAAGACAGTGATCCAGACAGGAGTTCAAAAAGTGTTTCCTTTGAGCATAACTTTCAAATGGCCAAATGAGTTAATAGGTTAGACCTAGAAGAAAGGCATTTTCCTCCCTGAGGTGTGGGGAATTCGCCGCATGTGAAGGGGGTTCAGTTCCTCTTTCCATTGGTGAGACCCGCTCTGAGACCTCACCGCAGCCTTGCCCGGGTGTGCTTCGCGCTTCAGCCACCGGAGGGCGCCCTTCCACCACAAATCAGCCGCCGGGAAGGGCTCGTCAAAGCCCATTCCCAGGCAGTTCAAAATCTCTTATATTCCACTTTCTATCTTAAAAATGTGAAAAGTACTTGGTTGCCACTCTTGTATTGCCTTCTGTCCCGAATATCAACGGATGAAAAAAGAAAAAAAAAATCAAAAAAAATAAACCTTTGACATTAGTTCACCGAATAATCATTTAGGTACTGCCCCAAACTTCTGTATGGTGCTTGAGAGCTTTCACAGCACATGTGTGCATTGACTCACTTGGTAGGGAGGGTGAGGGTTGGAATGTCATTGTCTCCTTTCACTTAGCAAGGAGATTAGAGCTTTGCCTGCATTCACACGTGTGTAGTGGAGGAGTCGAGACTGGTTCCATGCACTTTCATTAATATCATGCCAAAGAAATTCTCACGCCCCGACCCAATTCTGTCTCTATTTCTAGAAGCCATCTTCATTGTTCAGGCATGATATGGGTTGGGGCGGGTCTCCTGGTGCTGGCACCAAAAGGAGGAATCCTCTGTTCTCTACTCCCTAAGGAAGGCTAGTCGGGGTCTCCCCAGGGTGGCCTAGGATGAGAACAACGGGCGCATGACAACATCCCTGGGGTGGAAAGCAAAGAGCGATGTCTGTGAGTGTGTGACATGTCTCCATCAAATCTTTGTGGATGAAAACACAATTAAAAAAAAAAAACAAAAAAACACTGTCACCAGAGAACTGACTTGGATTGCAGCACATTTGTTTACTCACACTTGCAGCCTATAGCAGAGCAGAAAGTGAAGTAGGAAAAAAAATTAAGCCATTATTTGAAACCAGAGGAGGCAAACGGACAGTCCCCAGGCCTCGAATGGATGTGAGCTAAGGCAGACATGCGTTTTGACTTACACAAAGTTGAAAAATGCTTTTAAATTAGTTACCACCATTAAAAAAATCAGGAGATGGCTCCCTATCTTCCCTCTCTTTTCACAATCAGGTTTATTTATTTTTATTAATTTTCTGGCCTCGGTAGGCAGCTGAGTTTGGAACCTCTGATTCAAGCCATTCTCCTTTTTGACTTCTGTTCTCTCATTCTTACCCCCAGAAGATACACAGTTAACGTGTGGATGTCTTGTTATTAGCATTTACTTTGTGGATATATTTACCTTATAATGATCAGTAGAACTATTTTCTGAATTAACAATTTCTATTGAAACAGAGAAACACACAACCTAGTGGGGCTAATCAGCCGGTTTCAACTAGAGGCATACATTTATCTTTTGGAATAGCTGCAGGAGCGCTATTAAGTGTGTGTCCTTCGGCTGTGGGACTCCCAGTGGAGGGAGACCAAGTCATGCCTTGTATGGAAAGTTCTTTCTTCGCCTGAGTCCAAATTTGCTTCCCAGTGTCAGCCATTTTGTAGTCCTTATTCTACCTTTTGAAGTTCTGTGGAGGAAGTCTTAAAACCAGAGTATGTGACAGCGAGAACTTTTGGAATAATTGCACTCGTGTTCTCATCAGGCGGGTGCCCAGGCATTTATTTACAGAGCGTTGCTTACTGTAGTTCCCCAACGTTCTGATTTATGCTCACGGGACAGCTTTTTCCTCTACTCTAACCTTCTCATTGTTATTTCAGTATGTATATTAAAGTCAGAACATTCTGTTTCTTTTTCATTGCTATTATAGGATTATGTATATCACGTAGTGAGTGCGATCTGTGAATGGACAGTGGCCTTTGGTTTTATTTTCTACTTCCTAACATTCATCCACGATTTTCAGGTACGTATCTATCAATTCAAAAGTTATGCATTAGGATTAGTAAAAATTCACAGAAAATTTCTTGCATTTTATTTTATTTTTTGAGGCGGGATCTCACTATGTTGCCCAGGTTGGTCTCGAGCTCCTAGGCTCAAGTGATCCTCCTGCCTCGGCCTCCCAGGTAGCTAGTATTACAGGTGCATGCCACTGTGCCCAGTTGCATTTTTAGAAAGAGCAATTACTTTCTTTTTACTCTTAATGTGTTTGGAAAAAACATGTAAGTATTGTGCAACTCAGTTTATTAGCTTATTCCCGAAGGGAAGCATCTTTAACAGCTCTCCCAACCAATGACATTTTCATGATCCTTTGACATTTGATGTTGATAGTCACATGTCCTGGTTGTTTTGTTTTTGAGGAAGTCTCATTTACTAATTCCAAATAATAGAAAATATTTCTTTTTAAAAACAAACCATAGTGAGGTCATCTCTTAGGTGGCACAAAGCTGTAGGAAATGTCATTAGTATTGGAATTCTTTAACTTTTAAATGTTTTTCTTTTCATTTTTTGAAAAATAGGGTGTCACCCTAAGGATATCCACAGAAATCAATGGTGACATTTGAAGAAAGAAGAATTGTATCTCACTCAGTGAATGTCGCAGACAATTTCTAGAAGTGGTCCAGAGGACAGGCAGGGTTTTGATGCTGCCCTGATTAGAGTGTATCTGCGGCACATCCAGGACTTGAATTTCATTAAGAATTCCCAATAGTTGTACTATTTTCAAAGGTATGTTTTCCTAGAGAATGTAGAGCACTTACGACATTGTAGCGATGTTTTCACAATTTTCTAAGTAGACACTTTTTTATATTAACAGATTCATAATAGAAAAGATAAAGTGTTACAGAAAATGGAGAGCTCTTATTTTTGTACAGATTCTGTTGTTGCTTTTTCTTTGTGTGTGAGTGATTTATGGAAATACACTAAAGGAGGGCTTTAAATTTAGTACATTTGTTACAAAGTAAAATCAGGGGATATTCATTTTTTAATTTCACTTTTAGAGAATGTACTGTATCATTTTTTATTATGAGAAAATTTATAAAATTGAATTTATAATGATCATATACCCAAATCACAAAGATTTAGTTAATAAATTAACACTAAGATACTCCGATTTTTTAGCTGAACTAACCAAATGCTACTATCGACAGGTCTTTGTACTACCATGCACAGTAACTCTAAGTGACTAGGGGAGACCTCAGTTTTGGAATCCTGCCTCCTCATTTCTCCCTGTTCAAAGGGTGCAGCTTTTACCCTTGCTGCTATACTTGATCTTAACCAAAGGCCGAGACACAATACCCTTGCTGCTAACTGGCAGTCCATAGTGGGCGTGATTCCAGGTGGGATGGATTCAGCAAGGCAGATGAGAAATTCTAAAACCGTCCTTTGTTGTCACTGGCATAACTTGATGTATAGTCTGACTCAGAAGCTGAAACTCACATCTAAAATTCATTTTTTGCCAGTAAACATGCAAAGAGGACAAAGGCCCAAGAGTGAGACAAGGAGCAAGGAGAGAAGGAGGTGGCCCAAGTTTCTGGGTGCTGTTTAATGCCCATGGGTGGATGTCCACAGCACTGCAGGGAATTTGCAGGCCCTTTCATTAAGTAGGACCTACACACTCCACCTTTTTACCCAAATAATGAAAGACAAATAAAAAGCAAGTCATTCCAGAGGAAAAAGTAGCCCTTAAAATGTTAAGGCATAGGCTTGAAAGGTGATGAGAAGGAACTCTTTTTCAAAGACCCCAGGGCTTAAACCCTTGTCTGGCCAAGTGGGGCCGGCATTAAGGGCACATGCCAAGGGCAGAGCCGTCCATTTGGGCAGCCTTGGAGGGCACAGGGGTGTGGGGAGTCCGTGGCAGCTCCTCATTAACTGTTTGCTGGGTGGGCACAGGCGTGAGGTTCAGCAGGAGTCAGCCACCCCTGCAACGACAGGCTGTGTCTCCCCTGTGTGTCTAGCGGTGGGAGCTGCTAACCTTTTCTGGGTCCGCTGTAACTTGTCATAATGCTGTGAACCCCCATTGCACCACTGGAACTGAAAGACAGTGATCCAAGTTACGGCAAGCATCATTATTCTGAGGAGGAGGAGGAACGCCACATATCAATACCTTTTCCATGGAACCTATGGTAGAGTGAATCCATGGTTGTATCTCGCTTTGAACAGACTTCTGTTGTCAGCACTTCTCATGATGCATTATCATTCTTCATTTCCAACTTCTCTCTGCACAATTAGATCGAGAGCTCCTTGAAGGCAGAGTATGTGCCTTAATCTTTATCTTTGTAACTCCGGCATTTCACACGGTGCCTCCTGGTACACTGTAGGTGCTCAATAAATACTCATTGAATGCATGCATGCATGAATGAATGAACAAATGAAGGAATGACTAGGATGTTTGTAGTGCTGCATAATGGCATTTACTCTGGTTTACTAGTTAATTTAATGATAAACAAATAGTCTGTATCACCCAGTAATGTTGACTGTTTTGCTTTGTGTACTGTAAACACTTCAGTTGTTTGGCTACACCATTCTATGACAACTCTTCATCCTGGACAGTTACTACAGAAATTGTTACATGGTCTAGACCAAATGATACACTTGTCTTGGCAAACTGAGAAGGCCCCACATCACTCCAGACAATGACATTCTGCTGATTCCGTGCGACCTCTAAAGCTGGTCTTACCCGCATTTTGTTATTATTTCTAATTTCCATGAACTTGCATTTCCTTGGACCTTGTGGCTGAAAGAGTAAAATAAAAAGAAATATTTCTTTATTTTAATAATTTGTGTTTCTGTTAAATTATAACATGTTGCCTGGGTACTACTATGAAGTATGCTTATCTGGAAGATGATTTCAGATCCATTTGGACCTCATAAAATTATGGTTTAAAACTTATGTTTTCTTAATTCATGTAGCTTTCGTGTGGGCACGATTGGTTCATCTTAGTAGAGGTTCTCAAACATTAGCCTCAGAAGTTTGTATCAGTCAAGACTCTTAGAGTTGAAGGCATAAGAAATCCAACAAGAAGGAAAAAAACGGAATCTATACTTTATTGCCTCATGTACCTGAGAAGTCCAGGAGTGGGGCTGGCTTTAGGAATGGCTGGGTCCAAAAGTGCCACCAGGACTCCCTCTCCTCTCTCCTCCTCTGAGCTCTGCTTTCCTCCCTACTGGCCTCCTTCTCAGGCAGGCTTTCCCCTGGTGGAAGTGAGAGGGCATCTAGAACCTCCCAGGCCTACGACCCATCCAGCGGAAAGGGAAGACCTCTCCATAGTTACAACACCAGGCCTGAGAACTGAAACACATTGTCTCTGATTGGCTGGCTTGGGTCACATACCCATTGGGAAGCATGATGCTCGGATTGGTCAGACCTGAATCACGTGTCCACCCCTGGGGCAAAGAAGGGTCAATACCACCCAAACTACTGGGCTGATGGTGGGTGACAGTTGTTTCTCTGAAGAAAGGGATGGGAAATGGATCTTGAACAGACAAAAAGCAGCAGATTCCGCTATGGAATTAAAGTCCCCCCTGCAACCAAAGCCGACCTCACTTGTTTCAGAGTAAACCAAAGTATACTTGCCAATGACTTTTTTAGATTAAAAAAAAAAAAAGTAAATGTAAGCCATTAACATAGTACAGAGACGTTCTGTTAACTTCAAGTTATGTTTATATTTTTTCAGGGTTCTTGTGCTCTTATTTAGCCTCTGTGAGGTTGGTCATGCGGTTAATTATCACATTTTTCAGATAAGAAAACAACGCAAGAGAGATTCGGCAACCTGCAAGCAGTTCTGCAGCCTGATGACAACAGATTCCAGTCTGGAACTCTGTTTTCCTGATTCCTAATCAAGTGGGCCTTTTTTATTTTTTTTTAAACACTAACACAGAGAATTCCACAGAAATTGCATTTTATAAACCAAATTAAGTACATCCGTGTCATGCTGTGTTTGGGTTTCCTGACATCCCTTACATGTGGCATTGTCCCATGTTCCCGTTTTTTACTCAGTTGGAGACATGCTGGTCTGGTGTTTGGGCCTGGAATGAGGAAAGGAGAGTGGGAGGAAGATAAGTGGTATCCCTTTCTCCCCCACCGCCTGATTCTGGCAAGCCTGGAAGCCCAGCCGGCTCCCCACACACATACTCTTGGTCTGGCTCTGAATGCCCCGCATTCTCCGGTCCAGAATGTCATGCATCTGCGTGGTGTCTGTTGCACAAGAGAGCAACCACAGCCTCAAGCCCTGGAGGGGAAGCTTCTGACTCTCCTTTGTCACTTCCAGCAGATTCATCTTCTGAAAGGAAGGACAGCAGGGTCCCAGACTCCTACTGGGTGGCAATAACCTCCAAAGTCAGTGCTTGGAAAATGCTGAAGGAGACACCAACAGTCTGCTTGGTGGTTTCAGACAAGGTGCCATGGGGTGCCTGGAAGGCCTGTGATTTAGGCAGCCTCTCAGCAACAAGCACTGCTCTGTGCCTTACCGTCTCCAAAGCCAGTTCTACCTCTGGACTTCTCGGTCGCATGAGTTGATGGGATCTCTCTTTAACGTCAGTAAACTTGAGTTGGGATTTCTGATGCTTATACCTGCAAGAGTTCTGACTGATTACAAAGACTCAAGAGTTCCCCCATTATGAAAATATAGTAAACTGCTGTCACCTGGAATCACCATGCAGGGTAGAAAGATCATTTTTAGATAAATGGGATTCAGCTGTCCCCACTCACAGCCCTTACTCTCCAAGCCATTTGTTCTTATTCAAAAAAAAGTTGAATGAGTAATATATTCATGATTCAAAACTCAAAACAGTGTGAAAAGTTATACTATCAAAGACCTTTTTGCTTTCCTCTATCCACATTTATGCGATTTACCCCTTCCTTGCAGGTATCCACTTTTTATCAGATTTTTCTGAAAAGACAAACAAAACCAAATATCTTCACATGCTTTTCTTTTAATTTTTACCCCAAATACAGCATACTGTGCAAACAGTTTTGAGCCTTCCATTTTTGAAGGTCTTGGAGATGTTTTCCTTATCAATACATAGAAATCTTCCTCATTTTGCTCGTTTGGTTTTATACCTGGACAGTATTCCATTGTATGGGTGTGCCATCATTTATTTAACGAGTTCACTATTTGATGAGCAATTGTGTGGTTTCAAAGCTTTTGCAATTACAAGTAAATCCATCATTTCACACATGTGCAAGGAAATCTGTAGGAGAAATTCCAATGAGTAGGATGCTGGGAACTGCGTCTGTAATTTGACAAATACTGTCATCTTGCCTTTAGAACCTTTTACTTGAATATTTTTGTTGGAAATCTTCCCAGTTACACACACTTCCTTCTAAACCGAGGATGCTGAATATAAGTTCACCTTTTCTTGTGACTCAGTCGTCCCTGAGAGCATCTGTGACTGTAGAGGCGGCACATATGTGGACTCTGCTGTAGATCATTTGGGACTTAGAAATAATCAATCAGCTTTCATGTCGCTTAAATACACCTTCTATGTCATTTGGAAAAAGAAAATCTTATTTGGAATTACCTATGGGGAAGCATCATAATTTTTTCAGTACCGGGTGTTTTGCTTAAAAACTAAGGATATTTCTTTACCTGCCTTCATTATCACTCAGGTTCCTTTTTTTTTCTCTTTTTTCAGTTCTTTGTTTGTTACTATAATCACTCAGGGTCTGTTAGCATTGATCGAGCATCTGCCATGTCGCAGATACTGTGAGAGGGGATTTCCTCATAATTAGCCCCATTTTACTAAGGAGGAAACTAAAGTGTGGTGAGGTTGTCACCAGGTACCAAGTGGTGGGGTGTGACCCCAGGGCTGTGACTCCTACAGTCAGCCTTTTCCATGCTGACAACATGATTGTCAACCATTATCCTATGAACACGAATTAATTTGTTAGATTTTTATAGTATAAGGCCCTGAGGAATGAAACTCCTAAATTGGCAAGTTTAGAAAAATGGGTGAAATGTCTGGGTTTCTGCCTCAGAAGGGCAGATCCTGGCTGAAGTCCGAGCATCTAAGTAAGATTGGAGGGGCAGGTGACAGGTAGCGGGAATCAGGAGTAGAAACAGTAAAGAGAGGGCTTGTATGATGCACCGATTGTTGGTGGAGCTGGAGATTAGTTCTCCTGCGCCCATCACCACCCCTGCAGAGGAGCACTGAAGTGGCCACCATTCCACCGGGCAGTGAGGCTGGGGGTGAGGGCCTTCAGCATGATTAAGGCTCTGGTGAGGTGCGGCTTCTTAGGATTCTCCACTCCTAGTATCTTTTGCCTCTGGGTGGTGCAGCAAGATGCACTAGGGCTGTGTTCTGTTTGGAAAGAAGCATCTCTCTGGACTTCCCCAGGGGAAAGTCATACTGGGGCCTAGGGGAAGACCATTTGGGCTGCCACTAGGCTGGGGAAAAGAAGTCCTCGTGTTCAGTTTTTATAAAACAATATTTTATTTTATTTTATTTTATTTTTTAAGAAGGGAGGGTGTCAGGAGGGGTGCTCAGTTTCCTTGTTTTTGTTTTTTTTTATTGCTGTTTTTGAGATAGAATCTCACTTTGCCACCCTGGGTAGAGCGCAGTGGCATCATCATGGCTCACCGCAAGCTCCAACTCCTGGGCTCAAGCCATCCTTCTGCCTCAGCCTCCCAAGTACCTGGGACTACAGGGGCTGGCCACAGTGCCTGGCTGGTTTTTTTTTGTTTGTTTGTTTGTTTTCATTTTGGTAGAGATGGGGTCTTGCTCTTGCTCAGGCTGGTCTTGAACTCCTGAGCTCAAGCAATCCTCCCACCTTGGCCTCCCAGAGTGCTAGGATTACAGGTGTGAGCCACCGCGCCCGGCCTTGTTTTTCTCCTTTTTTGATAGTAGTCTTCCTAATGGGTGAGAGATTGTATCTCATAGTGGTTTTGATGTGCATTTCTCTAATGATTAATGATGTCAAGCATCTTTTCACTTGCTTATTGGCCATTTGTGTATCTTCTTTGGAGAAATGTCTATTCAAATCCTTTGCTCATTTTTAAATCGGTTCCCCCTTGACCCCTGCAGCCCTCCGTCTTGTCACAGATCACCAGCACACAACATAGTCTTTTCTGGGCCAGAAGTGCCAGCAGGAAGTGATAAAAGACGCAGGGTCGCGGGCTCCAGCTCTCTCGCTCTCCCTTGCTCATCAGGCTAATATGAGCACGAGGGACAGGAAAGCCTGGAAGACAAACTTCACCTTCTTTACCCATCGTTTTGCTCAGGCTCAGCCCAAAGAGTAGCAAGTTCCAAGTGCCACCCCTGACATCTGATTTAAGGCGAAGAGTGATGTATTTAGAGCTGGCCAGAGCTTTGACAGCCGCTAATATAACCTTTAACACATGTATTAAAATAAATACTGAGCTTAGATCAGTCTTTCATTTCCTCTTAATACTTGAAAAGCTACAGTTTTGTTTTCAAGTTCCCTCAAAGGGCTCTAGCGGGTAAATTGATTCTTCCGCTTGACTGCATTTGGAACCCTTAAGTAAGAGCCACCTTGAAATCGAAACCGGGAAAATCCCAGGTCTCTGGCCAGGAGAAGAAGCGAAGGTATGTTCTGAGGCTTATTAATTAATTACCTAGTTGCTGACATGTTATTGGGGGGGAGAGAAAAGCCGAGGTATTGGCAGGCATGAACACAGATTAGTAAGGACCTTGGGTGATGAGGTTTATACATGAGGTAGCGCGTTTTGGTGTTCCCTGCCCTTTGGTTCAAGACAGTCAAACCAAGG